TTCTCTATATGATAATAAACTTATTTGTACCTTGTCATAATATATTTAACTATACACAACATTTCTGTGGATATTCGAGTTGTGTATATCAAACTGCATATACTATTTACGAGCTGTTCGCAAATGGAGTACTCTCATCTGTCTGTATTGCTTTCTTCAGTATTACTCTGATTGTTCGGGCTGTCTATCGCAGATATCGTGTACGTCGACATGTAGATTGGCGCAAGCATAGAAAACTAATAATTCAACTTTTATTTGTTGCATCAATATTTTATATCTTTTATTTTCCTTTGATCATACTAGGTGTTTGGCGTTATATTATTGGTATAACGAACTTTGGTTCTCAAAATTATGTGTACGGAAGCTTTTTGTCTTATTATGTTAACTTTCTCTTTCCTTTTGGATGTATTGGTACAATACCTAAACTTAAAATAAAAATAAAAAAGATATTATTATGTTGCAAAATAAAACCAAATGCTGTTGCTCCACGTACAGTGAAAAATCAGCAACAACCAATTGATCAAAAACCTATTATAGCAAATACAGCTTTATAATCATGAATAAAACATGACAAATCAAAAACAGTATAAATGTCGTAAACCTCTTTTAACAAAATAAATTTTTGATAAAATAAAAACATTTACAAAAAAACACAAAAAAATCGAATTGTTTTTTACTGAATATATTCGCATAAGCTTTCTATCTATATTTATTAATAGAAGACTATAACGTGAGTACTCATATTTCCTTCTAGTAGAAAAACGAATCATCTAAAATGAAATACGTCAAGACCTAAATGATGCTATGTGTTGATTTTCTACAGGAGAAATATTTTAAAGGACAAGGGACGCTTGATACGTAAAACGGCTCTAACAGAAGAGGCATCATCTGATGTAAAAAGCATACATATAGATGTTACTTGAATGTGCAATATAGAATCTTGTATTCTCTTAATTTCAAAGTCTATGAGTACCATATACAATTAAGTACTTCTTTTCTTTCTTATTCATATACATATCGAATTGCTCTCTCAGAATATCCCAAGTTGATTATTAATCCTTGAATGATGTTTTTGTCTGATCTATACTAGATACTGATAGGGTCAAAGATACTCAGTGTGATCTTTTCAGATAAGAATATATTCATCTGAGTCCTCACCGATGAGTATATTCGCAGTTCGCGATACAGTTTTTTTGAAGAAAACTACAAACCTAGTTACTTCTTAAAGGCATCCCCCGAGTCAAAAAAAATTTTTTTCCAGAGCACTCTTGAGGGTGTGGGTGTGTGCCCTCCTTCTCTTGCTTCAAACCCACATCTTTTCGAAATTAAGCAACCCCGACACAGTTTATGTACTTGCAAATAATATCATTTAAAATTGATTATTTTACTTGATAAAAATCACCTTGATATTTAACTTATATCATTTATACAGCAGTTTTGTTTTTTAATTTCATATTGGTAATTTTATATAAATCTCAATAGTTTCACATATATTCATTTAATAATATCATAGAGATATACGAGAATACAAGATCGAAACAAATAAAATGTTAAAGAAAGAGTTCTGAAAATTTGTATTTGATGTCAAATTAATAATCCATACCGCATTCGAAGCAAGCAATCTCTTCGAGAACACAACAAAAGCAAGATGTGGGTGTGGGCGTGAATAAGGATAAAAAGGATACTCATACCATCACTCACATCGACACCCACACACTTTCCTGAATACTGGTATAGTGCATCATATGCAACAAAAAAGATTCGCATGCATTAAAATGTAATTACTATAAAAAAAGATGTTTAATTTGCGTCAATCAACGAATGCTCATCCAGCATATATATCATAATGTAGGAATCGCGTTTGTCGTGTATATTAATGGAATCTATATATTTAAATAATACAGATGAATAATCTTGCTTATAATTATATACGAAAGAAAAAGAAAAAGAAAAACTCATTTCATTTGGTTAAAAGTAAAATGTCGACAACAATTGTTCCAGTATTTGGATATCTTGGAAATCAAATAACAATCTATTTGAGCACAGTGTCTCTTATTGCTGGTGTGATTGGTGGACTTCTCAATATTATTATTTTTCTTAGTCTATGAATCTTTAGAGAAAGTTCATGTGCATTTTATTTAACTATCATGTCAATTTTTAACATTGGTCAAATGTTTATAGGTTTACTTCCTTTTATACTAAATAATGGTTTCAATGTCGAATTGTCACAATCACCATTATTTTATTGTAAATTTCGATATTATGCGTATCAAGTATGTGCATTAATATCAATGACTTGCATCTGTTTGGCAACGATCGATCAATATTTTGCTACATGCTCACATCAACGATGGCAACAATGGTGTAATATTAAGTTAGCTCGTCATTTAGTGACAATATTTGTTTTTATTTGGTTTGTTCACAACATTCCATATCTTATCTATTACGATTATGTTGTATCAACTGTCACAGGTAAAACAACCTGCGTTATTACAAGTAAAATCTTTCAACAGTATGCCACTTATGGTGTAATTCTTATTCTTGGAAAACTTTTGCCTATTTGTATTGCATTCTTCTTTGGATTTTTGACTTATCGTAATGTACAAGAAATCTCTTATCGAACATTACCTTTCGTTAGACGTGAATTGGACAAACAATTAACAGTAATGGTTTTAGTAGTTGTTGTTTTCGCTTTCTTTACTGTGATGCCATATGCTTTTGTATACATGTTATTACAAATGCCAAGCTTTACTACGGATCCATTTACTGCAGCACAACTACAATTTGCCTCTACTCTGACTTTAGCCATACTCTATATGTATTTTGCAGTAAGTGTTACTTGATTAGGATTCTCTGATAAATGAAGTTATTTTTCTATATAGAGTCCATTCTACATATTTTTGTGTGTATCTGATCGATTTCGTCGGCAGTTGATCTATGTATTGTTTAAAATTCACTTCAATCGATGGCAACAAAATCGAAGAATTCTGGTCAATCGAGTCATACCACAGACCTGATAAACATCAAACAATTATCTCGATCCTTTATAGTTACTTTTAAAGATTCTTTGAAATGTTATTATGTAATTGTGACACGGGGGAACAAGCCGACTTCTGTACTTCTGCGTACTTTTTGGTACTTCGGAAGTACAAAAGTGCGCTTGTTTCCCCTTGAATTGTGATTTATATTGCTTGAGAATTTCCCTATTTATAATATATATATATATCTTTAGACATGCATGTTCAATTAAAACATATCCGGCGAATATATTAACTCTCTATATTGTCATGAAAAGACTTTGTACCATTAATGTATTCTATAAAGCAACTTATATAGTTGTTGAAATAGACGAAGCAGAAATGAATTGAGATAGATGTATCAACCATGTTGCCTTTCTTTTTAATAGAACTGTCGGTTCAAAAATGGTTTCTTGTTTTCTACTATTTTTTTTATTGATTTTTCTGCAAGATTTATTATTTGATATTATATTAGATAGGCGTACAATTACCTCTAATAGTTAATATTTTATCTAATGATTCTTGATGGTGTGGCTGTGAGTGTTGTATGCAGCTATACAAATACTCAGATACATCCACGACTATTCATTATTAATAATGGAATATTTTAATTTTCTTTTTAATGGGAAAAAAATCAAGAGGATTTTTTTCTGTTGAGTTATTCTGAGATGAAAGGATTAACTTCTATGAATAATAAAATATGAGATACCAATAAATATTGAAAAGATAAAATTGAAAGAAATATTTATATTATGATTTAAAATCTAAATTTATTATTGTCAACATATTTAAAGAAATTATATGATTTTGAACTACATTATCATGTTGATTCATCAATTAAATCGATAAGAATTGTTTCAAATATTTTAAACAGTTTTTGTTAGTTCCTCACTATCAGAAGGATTGTTTATCTATGTTCTAGAATATTTTTCAATTTAGATTAATGATTTAAAAACAAACAAAAGTAGATGAATCAATTGATAATTTAAACATAAATCTACAAATCAATTTCTAGTAGAGGAATTCTGAATGATAAGTTAATTATTTTTTTTGTAGAATTACATATAATTGTTAGAAATCATTTCCCATCGAAAATACTTTATTCTCTGATAACCAAATTGCTGCTACAATATTATTGATGATGTTATATAGTATTGAACAAATAAGTTATTTTTGTTTTAAATATCGCTTTTCAAAAGTATAATGCTGATTTAATTCGAATCTACTCTTCACTTGTTTATTGAACATTCATATAATCTATTCGTCACAATAACTCATTTAAACTTACACTTTTCTTTTTAGAAATTCTAATACGATTATATCGCGTAACAAATTGAAATATAATAAAATACTTTATAAGATAATACAGAAATGATTTTATTAAATCACGAATATTACATTTATCTTTTATAATTATCAAAATCAATTGAATTAAACTATAAGATTGTTTCAGAAAATATAATTATTGATCATGGAATTGAAAAACTTGATGTTGCTGTTGTTGTTGTATATAGGAAATTAGATAAATATATTTATACAACATTAAATCGATAGTTTAATTTATGAGGTATTTGACGAAGGAATTAATAATCTCAATCATCTGATGAAATTAAAAAACTAACAAGTCTTGTCTAATTTATGATTTTAAATCAAAATAAAAGTACGTATTACATATTCTGAAACTATATTTCTGTTAAGTAAATGGATAATAATTATATGATTTCAATGTGTTATTAGAAGTAAAATGAAATATTTATGTATCGTCTGCTAAAGCAAACACCTTTTAAATACTCCGATGTCAAACCAAAAACGGTTTCCATATGATAATGTTTCTCGTTGTAGTTATTGAACAGAGAATTTTACTCAAAAACAATTGAATATGCTTGATAGTTACTTTCATTATTTTTATTTTCACAAAAAAATGCTAATAAAGCGATTGTGAAATATATTCACAATTTGTAGAATGATAATTCTGCAAAATTAAAGAATTTTATATTTAATCTTTTAAAAAGATCAGAGATTAAGAAATGAATTGATTTTTTCATTTGCTTTTACTCTAAGAAAAATATAAGCGAACTAACAATTCAATTTAAAAGATGAATGATATATTGAGTAGCACATTATAGTTTCGTTGGATATTATTGGCGTTTTATTTTATATGAATCTCTGAATAGATATCATCAATATACTTCTCTTGTAGTTTCTTTTAATAAATCAAAGAAATATTCGAACCTTAACTTCCTTTTCTCTAATATATCGATAATATGGTTCATGTTAACAATATGTGTAATAGTGTTTCTTCTTTCTCAATAAATTATAACATAAAATATGATCATAGTTAGGTTTACGTTTTCTCAATTACACTCAGTATATTTTTTTAAATTCATCAATCTAATGAAAATACAGTAGGAGAGAATAACAAAATACTTTTGAAAAGAGTCAATTTTGATTCTCTTCTTAACTCACCTAATTACACATGCGTCACTTTCACTGACTCTACATATATACAAGGGATTACACGATTTACTTTTCGCGGACTTACTTTCCATTGATTATTTTCAGTATTAATTGTTTTTTTTCGTCGAAAAATATTATTTTTTTATTGCCGAGGATTTGCTGTCCCTTGATTGAAAACAAAAACTATTCTAATTAACCAATTTCTTGTATGAAGATTTATTTTCCGTTGATTATTTCGACCATACGAAATAAGTAATGAGTACAGTCATAGCGGCAGTCAATATATTCTCAGAGCAGAAGTTCAATAAATATATGACTAAATAACAGAAAAAAAGAGAGATAGTTGTTTGTTTTTCCTATGGACGTTGAAAATATCTGAGTCCAACAGCTTTTAAGAATGCTAGAATATCAGTACGATCGTCATCGTAACGTTACCGCTGTTTCATTAAACACTCATCAGATGTAACATTGTTGTTGTCGACGTCGTGGAATTGGAGCTCCCAAATCGTCTCACTTTCTTGAAACTAAAAAATCATTCTCTCATTTCGTATAGTCTAAATAATCAACAAAAAATAAATCCTCGGCAATAAAAAAATAATATTTTTCGACGAAAAAAAACCAATTAATACTGAAAATAACCAACGAAAAGTAAGTTCGCGGAAAGTAAATCGTGTAATCCAAGATATATATAAATATATATTCGATGAAAAACAGTACTTAGTTCGCATTATCAACATTGAAAATCAAAGATGATATTGAAATGCATAATACTTTTGGTGATGGTGATCGAAATGGTGAATGGATATGATATTAACGCTGACTTAATGCGTGGTCTAGTTTTCAACGATTCACTTCTCATTCAACTCAAATCAAATGATTACATACATCTTAGTGATTATCCTGAAGATTGTGCTGCAGTTTATCTCAGTGCAGTAGCATCCCAACAACACACAGCTACTGGTGTCTATGAGATTTGGCCAAGACAAGGTTTGGACTCTTGCTTTTCCCATCTTCTCTTTTGTTTGCATGCTAATTATCATTCCCTCTACTGAAAGGAGGACTATGCACCAAGTGACTGCATCGAAAACGACCAGATGTTCGTTCGTTCGCTCCTTTGTCCATAACACTCACACATAGAATCATCTGATTAACAATGTCCTTACGGGAGTACGAGGAGGAAAGACGGGGAAGGGGAGTACAATTTCACCCAATTGAGTATGGAGATGCAGAAACTAAAACCTAAGTTCCATTGCAATTGACAGCTTTCAGTCGAGGGCTTAACAACGTTTACGATGCTTTACTTTTAGGTAAACCAATGAAAGTATGGTGTGACATGGAGACAGATGGTGGTGGATGGACAGTTTTTCAGAAGCGAGGTGATTTCATTCCACAAGAAGACTTTTATCGAACATGGCTGGAATATAAGCGAGGTTTTGGCGATCTTCATCGACAGTTTTGGCTCGGCAATGATCGTCTATCAATGTTGACTAACCAAGATTTTTATCAACTAAGAGTTGACATGGAAGACTTTGATGGACAAAAGCGTTTTGCTCAGTATTATAGTTTCCGAGTGTCAAATGAACAAGACAAATATCGACTATCACTTGGATCATACATCAAAGGTGATGCAGGTGATTCACTGAGTTGGCATAATGGTATGCAGTTTTCAACCAAAGATCAAGATAATGATCAACATTCTATTTCATGTGCTCAAAGATTCAATGGAGCATGGTGGTATATTAGTTGTTTCTCGTCAAACTTGAATGGTGGATATTTACGTGGACACCATCCGAATAGTGAAGGTGTGGGAGTGAACTGGGCTGCATTTAGAGGCGTTAATTACTCATTAAAGACATCAGAGATGAAGATTCGTCCTGTTTGGTTCAAACCTTGATTTTTCTCGTTGTGTTTCTCAGATATTCATGAAAACTTTAGTACTACTGTTATTATACACGAATAAATTGTTTGTGCTTCTCTTCCATTAAACTGAATATGATTGAGTGAAAGTTTATAGATTTATCTCCTAATCCTCAGATGCCGTTTAAAATTTTTTATATGAAGTTGTATGTGAGTCCAACCGGACGCACTTATAACTTAGTATAGAAAAATGTAAGTTTCATCCTCAGTAATGCCGGATATGAACGAATTGAAATATAAAAATTGACCTATATATACAGAAAATAATCAAGGAGCATGTATAGTTTCGTCTATCCGTGCGAAATATGGTTTTTTTTTTTACAGAAACCATATTTATCTGAAACTGATAAACATATATAGGTATACAGAAGTTAGTGAAAAATTATATGTTTTATAATAATTTCGTTACAATTATAAATTCTTTTAATATAATATCCTCTATAGAGTCAAAA